TACTATTAGATTTTACAAAATATTAAATTGTCATCTTTATATTGTTTAATAAGTGTCGTCATGGAGATCCCTGACGTTCGAGCATGGATATATATCGATCATAAAAATGGACGTATTGATTTTTTTTTTTTTTTTTTTATGAGAAAATAAACGTGTTGATTAAAACAAATTATATCATCACTTATTTATTGAATGTCATATGGACTAATGATCATATATTTATATATATATATATGCATATGTATATATTTATATTTTAAAATTGAAGTTTACCACAATTCTTTCTATCAATCTATTGCTTCTGGTCGACATGACAGGAACAGCTAGCTCATTCAAAATGATGATTTGACTGAGAAAAGGGAAGCACCAATGTACATACCTACATATATATATATATAAACAACTTAGCTTTTGTATGCCCAGAACCAAGACTATTAGTTAATTATTATTCAAACAAATTAAAATCTTATCCAACTATTTAACAGTTAACCTTTAATTATGTGTTAACTCTATTACATATCATATATAGATATATATATTCAACCTCAATATAATGCAGGTGTAGCAGATTATGTTACTTAGGTGATGAATATATATATATATATATATTTGCCACAAAGCTCTAAGCATGGAGGAAACTTATAAATATAAATATACATACATACACACACACACACACACACACATTGAGATTGCATAGGGAAGAGGAGCTGTGGTGTAGTAGTGAATGACAAGTGAACATGGTGCACCCTGACTACTTTTACTCATTTGTACCCACCTTCCTTAGTGTACGTGAGTTGGCAATGTCTAATCCTACATACATAATTAATCTTTTATGTTTGTTTGTTTTTTTTTTATTCTTTTAACTTCATCTTAATATATTATTATTTACCTACATCTTTTATATATATATACACACACACACACACCACGTTGATCATATTCGAAACGGATGATAAGAATTAGTTGATATAACACTTAATATTATATATATGATTGACTCGGTTCAATTATTTAAAATGTGATCACTTGGAATATTAAGTTCCAACATATGCATAAGGTTACTTTTTTTAAACTTTAAATATATTAATTTATTATAATATAAATAATAAATTAAATTACTTTTCGTCTATTTAAAATTTTAAAAAATAATCTACCTATATTATCTTACACAATATTAGAATTAAAAGTTTAATATTCAAATTCCAATCCTTACATTCAAATTTATTTTTTGCTCAAAAGTTATCAACCATATTATTAATGCATACTATAGTTCAGTATATTGGTAAAAAAGAATATGTAAAATACTTGCTCAGCTACATAGTTTTAAAGGTAAATATTAATAAATGTAATTTTGTTTTTAGTAAATTATAATACAATACAACTAACTTTTAAATAATAATGATATACATAATAGCACAACTCTACTTAAATGCATAGAAAATATATGAATTAATTGGCGGTTAATTAAAGAATGTAATTATATATATTTTACATAATTTTTTTTTGTATCACATGATTTCGAAGAAGGAAAACTACAATATAAAAATAATAAGTTAGTTAAAAAACAAACTATAATATTAAGACAATTGACTAGTACAATGGAATGATCTTTTTGCGCATGTGATTGAAGGACTTGAGTAACATATTGAACCAAATTCATGCAATCAAGGGTTAGAATGAGACACGTAGGCGAGAGATTTTGACTCGGATGTTCTTAGTTAATTATTATGATTGAAAACAAGTTTATTACTAGATCTTTCTTCCATCATGACAAGTTGTATGTACTTATATATAATGTACTTTTGTATTTCTTATAATTTAAAATAAAACCAATTTTATAATAATTACAAAAGATTTGGTTTAGTCCGTAGTTTTTGGACTTAAATAATTATAATTTTGGTGTAGACAAAATTTATAATTAAGTTTATGGTTATTAGCTTTATAATTATTGGGTAATTACGGGGATTTTTTTTAATTTTTTAAAAATATATATATAAAAATGTAGACGCACGTGGTTAAACCTGCAAAAAGTTGATAACAAACGGTACAGTTTTGGGTCAGTGTATTGGACAGTGGCATTCTCACTGTTTACCGTTGAAAAATTCGTACCTCACACAATAAAAACCCAAATAACATACAGTACGGATCTTCAGAAGAACCCTTTTTAACATTTCATAATAATTTAATAATACCACTTTACGATAGATTATTTAAATAATTAAATTACTGCAAACAAATTTAAGCTCTCAAGCAATGGGGACGAGATCATCTGTACTAGTGTACTTGTCTAATGAATTATTTGATTTTATTGTAATCCAAATTAGTAAATTTTTTTTTAATTGTTTTCATAAAATTATATGTTTTGCTGTCTAAACTGTAATGTTTATACCTTTTTTTTTTTTTTTTTTTTATAACAAATGATTTGAAATAAAGTAATCATATGTTTATAAAATGTAATTTCTAAGCAGTAAATAATTATGAAAAGTTTGCACCTAGTCCAAAAAATAAAGCAAGCAATAATCTAATCAAATTATTAATAAGTTTTAGATAGTACTATATGTAATTTGCCTTTAAATTTAAACTCTGATATTCTAATATGGTAATAAAAAAAGCTTGCGTTAAACGTGAATATTGAATCAGTAATACATAATTAGGAGGAGAAATGATAATTAATCTGTGTTTATATATTGCAGAGCATTATCGCGACTTGGCTGGTGAAGGAGAAATTGAGAGGTTGTTGCCCAATTTGGCAAACCCAATTAATTTTGCCCCAACATTCCACTGTTCATAATTTATGTCAACAACCCGACCTTATATTATGTATTATTTATAGAAGAATTATTATTAATTCAGTTTAATTTGTTTAAATATATCTACAGTAATGATATTCAATTTTTATTTTAAAGATAGTTTAGTTTAGTTTAATTTATTACCTACATATTAATTAACAAAGAGTTGCTAGATTTCCTCTTGATAATTATTTAGAAACCTAACGCATATAATGAAAAAATGACCTAAACCATCACTTGTATTAATTAATTTATATATTTTTTATTAGTTTATTATTTTAATTTAGGTTTTAGTGAAATACTTATATATATATATATATATATATTCTCCGTCTCCGATTTTGTATATCTTACATTAGTAAATATGTAGTCACTTGTTGTTTGAAATTGTAAAGTATTTTTCTTTTTTCTTTTTTGGTAAAGAATTTCTAAATTTTTTAATATATCAAATCCGACAAACATGAATCAATATGGAGAAAAGTGAAAACCTTATAGTACAAATACTATTATATATCACTATAATTTTTTAAAGAAAATTCCTGAGTACTGTATTTAATTTAGCAATTTTATTTATAAGATTACTTGTAAATTTATCTGTAAAACTATATTGTGCATTACACAATTAATCAAGCTATAAATTTATCAAAGTGATTTTAAGTTCAAGCTTTATGAGAATTATTCTTTTTTCATTATCTTCTTCTCACATTTTTGCAATTTTATGTTGCTCTCGAATTTGATTACCACATAAATATTTTATTTCTCTATAAAAAAATTATAAATTTAAATTTAGTTGTAATTTTGTATGTGCATTTATTTTAAAATAATATTTCATTATTGTGATTAATTTATATTTTATTAATTAAATAATACATATAACAAGCTCCAATTTAAATTCATGACATTATGTGAAAATGTAATGATCAATCAATTAACTCATTTTTTAGTATTTTATATTGATTTATAAATTAGGCAGATTTATTATTTATTTAATAAATAGAATCGTTTAAAAGAGATATAAAGTTTATTAAGATGATTAGTTTAGTAAGTCCACTTGATCTAGTCCATAATTTGGTTAATTTAAAGACTTTAAAAAGTTTAATATAAAATAAAACATTCTCAATCTACTTAATGTTTTAACATGTTTTTTTAAAAAACTTTTAAATAAAATTAATTTATTTTTAAAATTTAAGACAAAATTACATTTTTATCACATGTGATTTATTGTAATTACAATATGATTTTTGTATTTTTATGACATTAAAAGCGTACATAACTTTACATGGTGTTATGTTTTAACAAAATTGTTATTTTTTTTAAAGTAGGACCAGAATTTTTAAAAAAAAAAAAAAAAAAAAACATTTTTTAGAAGGGTAGTAAGACGTAAATTTATTAATAAATTAATTAAGTACAAAAAGAGTAATGAATAGTAGTAATAAAATTGAAATAGTAATTAATAAAAAATAAATACTGATTATTTTAATTAATACTTTAAATGGTAAAACAAAAAGTCCCAAAAAGCAAAATGATAAAAGTGGAAAATTTTCCTTCTCACTTATCTGAAAAAAGTAATAAAATTAAATAAAAGTTAAAAGAAAATAGATTGCGTCCGTAAAAGAAAAGAAAAAAGAAAAATAATAATAATAAATAAGAGAGAGCTCGTAGCTAGTTGCCTTATCTCTAATGGCCCCTTTCCTCTTTCTGCCTTTATTAATTTCCAAATATTTCTTTTTTTATTTCAACAAACAACGTCTTGTCAACTACCCCAAGCTTCGCTGCCGTTTTCCGGTTTCCGGTCTCTCTCTCTCTCTCTCTCTCTTCTTCTCTTCGTCTTCACCGTATGTGAAACCTCATCTTTCTCTTTCTCTTCCTCGCCTGGTCTGTTTGTTTTTCTGATTTTTTTTTTTCTCTTTTTAATCACTTCACCAACATGCCCGACTCGTCTTCTTGGTGCAACTTCACTTCAAGGCCTCCTTAGTTAACATAGAACTCCCACTTAATTTCAATTCCCTAATCATACTCAAACCCTGTCAAGTCAAAAGATTTGATGTAGTGAATGGAAGAGGAAAAAAGAAAGTGTGGATGAGTTGGAGAGATTCACTACTCAATAGCTAAACTCTTTAGGGTTTCTTCTGCTTCTCCTTCTAGGGTTTTAGGTTAGTTGGTTTTGGATTTTCTCATCTGGGTTTGTTGAGAAAACAAAGAAAAGAAATGGAGGAATACAATCATTTGAATGAGAACAGTGCAGGCAGAGGGAGTTTCTTGTATGCATCTCCTGTTCTTGCACCGCCCAATTCATCTTCTTCTTCGCCGTTATTTGGAAGGTCAACTAATAACAGTAGCTCTGATAATCAACAGACCCAGATGCCACCTCTTACCAGTTTTCACCTCCAATCCGAGGCTCATCCCGTTGTGAAAACTGAAGCAGCTAGCACATCGCAGAAATTTCACTACCCACTGTTGAGAACTGAGCACCAGACGATGAATCATCATCAAGAGGGAAATGACAGCAGCAGCTCGAACGAAGTTGAAGCTATCAAAGCAAAGATCATAGCTCATCCTCAGTATTCCAACCTTCTACAAGCTTACATGGATTGTCAAAAGGTAAAGAACTGAAATTTAAATTAGTCTAATACCCCCATGATGGCATTTAATTGTGGAGACAGAAACTTTTAGTAGTGCTCTAGAGAAATTAATTAGATTGACCAGTCTTCTCTCTTTAGTTTCTATACCCATCTATCTCTGTACTCTACCGTCTACCCAATCTTATATAAATATATGATTCTTATTGGCTTATATGTGTATTAATATAGGTAGGAGCTCCACCTGAAGTGGTAGCTAGGCTCACAGCTGCTCGTCAGGAGTTCGAGTCAAGGCAGCGATCTTCAATGGCGTCAAGAGATTCCTCAAAAGACCCTGAACTCGATCAGTTCATGGTGATTTTTATTCGTTTATTTTGTACCCTTTTGAGCTTCACTAATTGCTCAATAAATAAATTCACTCATATTCATGCCCTCTCTCTGGCTCCTTTCTCCTGGGTCCCTTTTTCCTTCTCAAACATATACATTTATATATATATTCTATATATCATCAGCATAAATTATTGGCCTGACCCAAATCTTATGGATCGCGAAAACAGGAAGCTTACTATGACATGCTAGTGAAATACCGGGAAGAGTTAACCAGGCCGATACAAGAAGCCATGGACTTCATGCGGAAGATCGAAACGCAGCTCAATATTTTAACCAATGGTTCCGTTCGCGTCTTCAACTCTGGTACTTCCTCCTTATCTATATATATATATATATATATATATGTAAACATATATTGCATACATTCCGATGTATGCCATATTTAGTGTTCGTATGTGTATTAGTATATGTGTATGTGTGGTGGATGTTGCCTAGCATGGAAAGAAACAAAGGAATCCCGACTGTTGCAGGCATGGGATTTTCTTTATTTTGCCTTCAAACTGACTATTTTTCTTCGGAAATCGTGGACTTTTTGTACCCAGAAATTCTTTCACTTCTATTTTCTGTTTGTCAATTAAGAATTAAACCAAAATTAAATCAGCCCATTTTTGCTCTACTTATAGGTGAAGTACATATATAAATGTACATATATAATTCGGCTAGAGCTAGAGAATAGAAAGGGGGAGAATGCCCAATAGTGACTTAATGAAACCCTAATCACGAGTCTAATAGTGAATTACATATTGTTTACATATATACATATATACGTATACATGATTCTAGAAGCATCAAACATGTTATGGGGAAGAAAGACAAAAGCACACTTTAGGAATCCAACCATCTAAATAAACCATGGTCAAGCCAGTGTCTGCAGTTTTGGCTCTCTCTAATCGGTTTCTATTAATTATTTTTTCAATATTATTATCTGGGTATTATAGTCTGGTATTATCTGACAAAGTTGATTCTTACCTTGTTTAGGGTTTTTTGCGACCAAAAATTTATGGACTAACAAATTATATTCATATCTCTGATAAAATCTGATTCAGTAGTTTTTCTGGGACCGTAAATGTATGTGCGTGTTTGTGTGTGTATATATATATATACACACCTCGAGATGGATGGGATAACTATTGTCGTCTTTTCCCGAGTTGTTCTTCAAGCTCGAGAGTAAATAGTGATGGGTTTGATTTGATTTGTTTAGAAATTAAAAAGAAAAAAGAGGAAAAAAAGGGTCTCTATATAAAAATTGAAGACATAGGATCCTGTTCAAGTCAGTGCTAGTCCATCCAGCCTCGTATTACGTCTTTGTCAGAAACTAAATTATAGTTCTTATATTAACACACATTAGATCTGGAATTTTCTTTCCCTTGATCTTCTGTGCCTGTTTTTTTCCTTTTCTTTTTTGTTTGTGCTTTTCTGTGTTCCTAATCTATCTGCATGTCTCTATATGTATGCATAAACGTTTTTAATTTTTATCATAAGCTTCCAAAATCTGTGGATTTAGGTGTATAACTTAACATTTATAATTTTTGACCATAAGCTTTAGTATCTTGTTCAAAAATTTCAGTTTTTCCAAGAGCAAATACGAAATTTGTAAGATTTAAAAAGACAAATAATATTTTAGAGCATCTAATTATTGAATGTTATTTTATTTTTTTAGCACACGCCAACATCGTTCACAAGTTCTGTCGATATGGCAGTCCAGGCATTTGTATAATTATATTGTCTATTATTGCATTCAAAGGATCATCAAATTTCTCACGAATTAAGGATAAAGGCATGCTAGGGAAAGGCATGATCATGAAGGCATTATCTCAGAAATTGTATGTTAGACTATGTCGAGGATTAATTGAGCAGTCACAACTATTGTACTTATGCAAATTGTATACCAAAATATTATGAGTTAATGCATAAAGAACGGAAAATGGTTTGATGTTAATTCTAAGGCAGTAGATAAAGAAATTCTACATGTAAATCAAATGATTTTTTTTTGAATTTTTGTGGCACCACAGTGATGTTTAGACGATCGATCATTATCAAGGGCTCATCTATTTCAATTGCTTGCAGATTATCTAATCTTCAATAGTTCTAATTTTCTGTTTTTACATTTGAAAGTTGACAAATTTTTTATGAATACATCTTCTCCCTTGTCTGATTTGATGAACAATTTTTTTTTTTCGTGTGTATTTACAATTTGCAAATGCATCAAGGAGAAATGATCGAAAAACGTTGAAGTATTTCCTGCTCTGGAGCAAATTCACGCTTAAAAAGTTTGGTTCTAATTTAATATTCTAGTCTAATTCTTATATGGGATTAGATCGGAACTAGACATATTTTTATTGACTAAGTTATCACCCCACTTGGATTATTGTCCTGGAATTTATTCCTTTACTTTC